AGTAGCGTCCTTGCTCCTAGTAGTAAGGCCAGGAGCTCCTAGTAGCGATGCCCTTTGCTCCTGGGTGTTGATATGGTTCATGTGCTCCGAGAGTCCAAGATCACCCCCGAGAGTCGGTCCGACCTCAGCCACCCGACCGCGAGGGTGTCCAGGCATGTCCACCGCCTGAAGCTTTCTTCGCGAAGCGGCAAAGGATTCGTTGAGATTTCAGGGAGACCTCGAGGGGTTTCAGAATAGATGACGCAATCCCAAAGCTTAAAGTTTGGTGGTTTATATATGTTTATACAGACCCCCATCTAAAAGACATCTTGGGGCTTGTGCCATCTACTTTGAAACGACTGTCATCCATCCTAATCCACTGGATACATTTGGATACTGGATTCATATCAGAAATGATAGTGAAGAGAAGCTTGTTTTTACAGTGACCTTTTTGTGGTGCACAAGAACTTGTAAATCGGATTTCTTTGGAATCATGTGGCAGCACCAGTCTGCGCGAACCGAGGCCACGACCCTTTCTCAGGGAAGAGGCTTCAATAAGAAAGGAATCGTTCTGAGGGTTGATTCGCGTGCGTCTGTCTTGGATTTCGCCACTTTTTGCACGTTGTTAGTAGATGTTAGCATAGGCATTCTCTGGTGTTTTGGAGACTCAGACTCAGAGTGCTTCAGTGCTTTGTTGGAAAACTGATGACGGTTGTCGTGATTTATAGAAATGAGATGAAATGAGCTTCCGTCCATGATTCATCGCGGAGGGGGAGTGTATGGGTGACGGGCGGAAGGGGCGCACGAGCAGTGCACCCCTTTCCTCCACAGAGCCCACATAGACTTCCGCTCCCCCCTTTCATCCTTTCCCTCTCATGCAATCTCCAAGCTCAACAAACCATGTTCTTGGTCGCTTGGCGCGTGCTGCGTTTGATCGCTCATGCTGCGCCTGGGACCCCATCCCCGCAGATTTGTGCCAGGATCTGAGCATCCAGCTCCACCTCCATCCGGTGGCGGATAGGGCAGGAGACAGAAAGGAGAAAGTCATGCTAAGATACCCCAAGATGGGTTGTGAACTTGGTTGTTTTTTTGGAGAATCATTCATGGGTTATAGCCGAGTGATCGAATGCCCTCCGACTCCAAACAGCACGACGACTGTTCTTGTTCTGGTTCTTACAGCATGCAATACTGAACTACTGCGCAAAAAAGACCAAACAACATACACTGTCTATCTTAAACATAGGGTTCCTTCGTTATATTCATCATTCCTCTTCAAACAAACCCACCTGCACACCACCGGCATCCGTGACGCCACCTTGCAGGCGTGGACGGCGGAGTAGGTGACCGTCCCGCTGGAGGACCTGGCACATTGGCGGAACTGGAATTCGGGGTGTCCCGGACTCAACCCACGTGGAGGTGGAGTGAGAACATGGATCCGAACCTGGCACTCTGGTTGTTTTGCCCCACCAAAATGGACTGCCAAGCAAGTCAAGCTACCATCTTTTGGGGCTTCTAGCTTTTGATGCACCCCAGAAGTGGAACACCCCTGCTTGTTGAGGGGGAAATAGTCTTCCGTGGGAAGGAGCGTGCCATCCACTTCCAGGTCTTCCTCCAAATGTAGCTGCTCCTGACCATGCATTGAGCGCCGTTGCACCTGTCCAAGAGGGAGCCTGTTCTTTTCGCAATGCGAGTTCAAACTGGGTCTTCGTGTTTTGTCCTACTGGGTCTTGCGTATAAAGGTTGAATGTAACATGGGTAGAAAAGCTGAAATTAACTCGTCTCCAAGGTCATCGACATCGATTCTGGCACTTTCTGTTGATGGAAAAGTCATCCAAGCAAAGCCAAATTGTTTGTCACCATGTCCATGTCACACTGGAGCATGGAAGCCCATCAATCTCAAGTGCTGCTGGAGAACTCTGCACTGAGTTAATGAGTTCTTCAGACTCGTTCCGCGCCTCAGCATCCCTTTCTTGGTCTTCGTCAGCGTGTCACGCGAAGGGACTACCACCGTGTCCTCCGGCTTCAGGCGTTGGGCCATGAGCTGTTCATGGGGCTGTAGTGGTCGAACATGCGTCTGACATTGAACGCTCATGCAAGATAAAGGTTTTTTAAAATTGTATGTTGGCCTCGGTCCACCCAAAACTTGGAGTCCCATGACGACGGTCTTTCTGATCATGTTCTGCTGGCAACCCAGAGGCGGATGTCGTGCTCTTCGAGAAACAAAAAGAAAAAAGTGTTGCTGAGTGTCATCGTCTTCCCTACTCCTGGTCGAGATAAACTTACATAGGAAAAAAACAGCCTCTTCTGGTAGCACGACTGTCGTGTCTTCATGCACATGAACAGCCTGTTCTGGTTGTCCCCATCGTCTTCCAAATTGTTTGGGGAAGGTTACGGCGGTCACGAACCCTATCTGAGGCCCCAATGGGCATTGATGAGATCCCTGAGACTTGGGCAGGGCCCATTGATGTGAACATGCATGGGCCCCACTGGGCCAAGGAGTCCAGAACAGATAGCTCTGGGCATTACTACTAGTAGCAAGAAGCTGCTAGTAGCAAGGGCATTACTACTAGTAACTAACACTGTTCAGGCGCTGATCCACTCTTTCTCATTCCACAAATTGTGCCTATGGTCGAAGGTGGGGCCTTAGAATGGAAGTTTTTGGACTGTTCTTGGGACGCCCCATTGCGCATGTTGGGAACTAGAACTTCAACTAAATGCTGACTACATCCACCTCAGCATTCTTGGCTTCAAATCCCCTCCGACTCCGACTAGTCTCGGCAAACCTTTGTATTAAAGAAACATAAAGAAACGATAAAAATCAGAAATGAGCCAAGAGTGTTGAGTGCCCTTCGAAAAACCCTGGGCCATCTGATCCCACGCACGCCGAGACTGCGCAACGCGGGGCCATATCTCTCACCCGGATGCCCTCGGTCAAGTGGAGCCTGGCTTGTGCCAAAGGCCATGTCGAAGATGGGGGCGAGGTATTTTCATGGATAGGGAACCACATGAGTAAAGAGCCCTCCAGAAATCATCCTTATACCTTGAAGTGCCTAAAACTGTTCCTGCGCCTGTTGCAAGGATCAACAATCGCGTGTTTGCATATGTCTCACGACAACGGGAGGCTGCGCTTTTGAACTGGTGCTAGTGCTAGCGTCTACTGCTGCTCCTCTACTACTTACTACTCCTCTTCCCACTGCTACCACGATGACGACTACGACCACTGTTGCTACGACTGTGGTTGCTACGACTACTGTACTCTTGTATAATAACTACAAATCACTACCAGCTAAAACTATATACCTATATACTATCTACTGCTACCTACATATAAGTATACAACTGCATAAGTATGTATATAACTACTACAACTGAAATCACCACTACGACTACTACCACTACTACTTTACTCCCACTATACTCCTACTCCGCCACATGATGTGACCCTGGCAGAGTCTCTTGCTCTGTAGCTCAGAAAGCCCACTTCAAGCAGGAACGGAGGCACCTTCGCCATGTGTGTGGCCAGTGCGGCTTCACAGGCTCCAAGGACTTGTAGTAAGTCAAAGGCTCCTCAAGCAAAAAAAAGAAAGGAACAACAAAACAAAACACGCTTCAAGCCATGCCACGGCCATGGGCACACCCCACAAGTCTGATGACCTTCCAACAATTGGCCCTCCGTCCATTTAGACCAGATGATGCTTGGTCCTGTTTGGTCCTATGCTTGTTCCTGTGCTTGAAACCCATTGGAAGATTGGTCCCATCGTGAAAAAGCAAAGAAAACTGCGACGGGTCCTCCAAGGTGGAATCGAGGATAGCGCAACTTCCTCGGCGCATGCGATCTGCGCAGATGATCTGCGCTTGAGAAGAACCGTTTGTCTTGCAGAGGTATTAATGGGCCTATCCAAATCAAAAACTGGGTGTATCTAACGTGAGGGTCCAGTATTCTTCATGGAACAGCCTGTCTATAGTTTAACTCTTCGACCAAAAACAGGCTGAAATGGAGTTTTGGAAGCAGGCTGAAATTCAAGGGGCCATCAGCCTGAAAACTGCAGAACGACAATGGTGCTTTGCTCCGAAAGATCACTGGACGAAAGCGCCGTGCTCGGCCGTGCTCGGCTCCTGCTCGGTCGTGCTAAGCCTCCCACGGGTCTTGCGGAACCTCGATGGTCTGGACCTTGGTCTTCGGTGATGTTCGGTGTCACTGGCCGGTCATCTGAGTCACCAACATCTTCGTCTCACATGACCGAACCAGGGCCTTTGGCTAGTTGACCTCGAGCGAACAGGAAGAGAACATGGTCCAATGGTATCAGTTAGGAAAATGTAGCCAGATTTCGCTCCTAGCACCACCGCCAGCACTGAAAAGTTGAAGAACTTTACGTAATAGGCCTTTCTCGGAATGAGGGGTACCCCCAAAGAAGACAAACAGGACCCCATGGTTTGCTACATTGCCCCCCGGTCCTCTGCAGCTCTTTTTTGCACGCCGCAGGGAGTCTTTCTCCACGGCCAAAAGAGAGGATCTGAGTCTTGCTTCGACTTCAGCGAGATACGTTTGGTACAAGAGATCAAAAGCCATACAAGGTCCAGAACACAGCCTGACTCCAGAGCGCTCTAGTAGTCGTGTCCCAACAATGGCTGCGTCTTCTCCCTCGAGTCCCTCCGCGCACGGAGTTTGCCAGCAGCATAGCCGACGGCCAGCAGTGAGAGCGCGACCTCAGTAAACGGCATCTTTTCTACAATGTCCTGCTCTTTCACCTGTACAGAAAACATCCCAAATCTTGCAAACTTTGTGGCATCAAACAGGTTTGCCTGCGGCATAGCTCACAATGGTCACCCAGGCATCAAACCTCCTCCCTGGGTTTCGGAATGTTGTGCCACATTGGGGGAGAAGTGACAAACAACCATTGGAGAAAGCAGCACCGAGTTTAACGTGTCGTGATGTTTTCTTCTCAAACATGACTGCTTTCCGACAAAGCACCCTCTATTCTTCCTTTGTACTGTATGTCTGCAAAAAAATGTTCGCTCAAAAAGGACATCTCCCCATCCCGTTGCTGAGAGAAACACTGGCCTAATGCCACAGAGTCTTAACCTTTCAGTCGTATCTACACGGACCAGGCCAGCATTGCAAGTCAAAGCTTGGCACCAGAATGCACCAAAAGAAACCTTGCTAACAAATCCACAAAGGCCAAGAAAAAAATGAAACATCTCTCAAATATCAGGTGTGTTCTCCAGGATAATTCAAGAAGAATCTCATCCAAGACACCAATGCGACTTGGAACACCCGAAAGGTCTCCACCAGGGCAGACTCCTGCGTCCTCGACCGCGACTGCTCAAGTACAGTGGGGAGCGTCTTGAACTTTGGCGCCTTGAGCGTTTCTTTCAACTTCTCGCTCTCAACCTGCCAAGGCGCTGGAGTCTCACCCAAAGGAACCCAGTGAACCTCCGATTCTTTTTCCCTGGCTCTGGCTCTGGTGTCACTTGGTGTCCAGTGATTCCTGGATGTGGAACCAAGGCAAACCGAAGGTAGAACATCAGCAAACATGAGCAAAACAAATCCATCTCTGGACCCCGGAACTCCTGGCACACATCTCAAAACCAAGGCCAAAACAAACCCAAGTGGAGATTTGAGCCGTCAAAGGAAGCTGCACTTCTCGCAGCTATGCAGCTATACTGTACCAGTCGAGTGGTGTCATTTGACCCTACCCACCGCCTAAATGTTGGGCTCCCCTTGTCATCCCACCACGTTCATCCGGTAGCAGACCTTTGTGGTCATCCCCGCCATGTAGCTGCCCAGGACTTTTCCTGGCGATGCTGGCCGCTCTTCAGCAGAGAACTCCGTCCAAGAACCAAGAACGTTGAGCAACCTCTGCGACACATAGAAAACGGAATCCCCTTCAGAATCGTTTCGTTTGGAATCAACAGTTAGTGCTCGTCTGCGCCGCAAGCGTTTTTGCGAGTCTGGAAACAAACCAAACCGAACGGACAAACCCCTATGACCAGTGGTGACTCGTTGCCTGCTCAAATTCGACAAGATCCAACTGGCCCCATTCGCCCAATTCAACACCATTAGCTCAGGATGCTCATCAATCAATTAGCACTCGTTCATAGTAGTTACTGTTGGATCAACCCGTGTTCATTTCATAGGTTTTTGCCGGTCCTGGGCCTTCCTCCCCCACTGTTTGTGGTCACACCTAACACCTCAAGCCAAATCCCCTCAAATGTGTCCTGCAAGCACCTCATCCAATCCCTCGAAGCGGGGGATGGACCAATCACAGTCTGCTTCACTCATGAGCCTCGCACAGAGAGTTGCTAGACGGAGTCCACTGACATGGCTCCCCTATGTTTGAGTTTCAGAAGGAAAAACTCTTACCAAGTGCAAGGAGGGATGTGCACAAACACTGGTGCTGGCTGGCCGTGCACTCAAAGGGGTGCAGGCCTCGAGTTTCAAACACCGTTCAATCAAGGGACATTCCCGCACACCTAGCAGAAGTGGACCTACGTTGTTGCTTCGACCAGTTTAGTTGAATGGTTCGCTGTCAACATCCCGGACCCACTGTAGCCTCACACTGCACGGTGTGTTTGGGGGATATGTTATATGTTCTTCTGTTTTCATTGGGGCGACACACCACACCCATCTGCAGGCGAGGAACATGTTCTTGCCACGTTCAAGCTTCACCCATCCGTTACCTCAGACATTGCGTGACCCTCCGTGCTCAGAGAGCCCTAAAACTATAGCCATCATGAATCAATGGTAGTTGTCCGATGGGTTTTAAGCCTTAAGCTGACAACATGTGCTCAACGATCCTTGAATGGTGAAGGCCACTGCTTCTTGGACATGGATGGATAACTGTACTGACAGGTCTGTGCTTCATGCTTCAAGCACCATGTTCCTGTTCCACCAGGCCACGTTGTTTGAGGTGATATCCCAAGCGGTTGGCTGGAGGAAACTCTTTCCGGACTTTTGCACCCCAAAGGCGCAAGAGTGGGTGTCTCTTGAAATTAGGAGCAAGGACGCTACTAGGGGCTCCTTGTGGCATCTCGAGACCACTTTCAATGATCCCCATGTTTCACTCGTTTCGGCCACGGGGCATGCGTTGAGTTCAAGCAAGAGGTCAGGGGTGTTGTCCAACACCACTTGGGGTCAACCACCACCACCCCGTTCATGTCGAGGTATCATTGGCAAACGCGTGGTAATTTATACAGTACCTCCAAAGTTTTGTCATGGCAAGGGATAGGTCTTCATTCCGCAGCGTGGCTCGATGCCCAATGTAATTTGATTCCACCTTCAGCGACCACGGTGCACGACAACGCTTGAGCACTGCTAAGCTGAGCGAAGACTCGGCACTATGAACTGAAAACGGCACCGGTATATGATGTATATATATATACAAAGAAACTGATATATTATATTGAATAGAGTAATTATAGAATAAATGTTATATGTGTTACTATCATTTTTTGAATGTTGGCATCCAAGAATCGCACGTGTCAAGCTGACATCCTATTGTTTCTGGCATCTGAAGGCGCATCGTTCTTTTGTCAAACCGCAATTCCACTGTGATTCGTGTTAACCAAGCCCTGTTTCAATGCCAGCGTGCTGGGGTGCCAGAACAGCCGGAACAGAAATGAGGACCTCTCCACCCCTTGTTTCAGACCCCAAAACCATCAAAAACCCTTCCTTTTCACAAAGCATGACAGCATGTCTCTCTTCCAACCCGCGTGGTGTGCGCTATCCCACCAGGGTGTGCTGCTATCCCAGCTGCTGCCAAAGTAGGTGCCCCAAGAGTTGCGAATCACCCAGTACTTGGTCCCGGAGTTGGTCACTCCCCAGCCGGTCACTTCCATGTTGTGGTCCACCTGATCCTCCGTGTAGGTCTTCCTAACAGAGAACAGCATTCCGTGTAGGTCACATCTCAAACGGATGGTAAGGTTAGTCCAGTTGTCCCCGATGGTCCACGACGATTGTGTGAGCTCTCGGCCCAGAGGCTCAAGAAGTGGAGTGTGTTGGCCACAGTGGCCATATGCTGCAAATCACTGATCTGGAATCTGGAACACTCATCCCACAATCGTATCGTTCAGCCAAGAGTCTTGGTGCTGTAAACACCCTCGTGCTCCATGACGTTCTGACTGAAGTTCATCATAAACTCATCATCCGTTGCAAAGGAGCAAGTGATGGGCCCTTGCGCGGTGAAACAAACACGTGGACCATTAACAAGAAGCTATTAGTAACAAGTGCATCGCTAGTAGTAACAGGCGCCTTACTATATAGTAGTAACAAGAAGCTAGTAGAAACAAGTGCCCTACTAGTGGACTATCAACGATGGACGTCTTCCCATCTTCTCGTTCCAGTTTCGGGCACTTGGCATGGACACTTTGGTTGAACACCGGATGCTGAAAAACATATGCGGTCCTCAGTGGCTCTTTTGATTTTGATGTGTTCAGTTGAAGGAGCTATTATGTGAAACTGACTGCATTGATCATTCTTGGGTTCAGTCATTGCTGCTTCCACCTGCCCAAACCACAGTGGTCCTCAAAACTTCAGTGAGAGAAACTTGATTGCGTTGTCTTGACTCTATCAAAAGCTATATGCCCTCTTTCCAATGAACCGCGGAGCAGACAGGCCCCCTGGAGGAAGAGTTCGTTACAAAGAGGTATGGGATCGGCAAACCAACTTGTACATCGTAGATTCTTCCCAGCTCATCCAGTGTGCACCCCTGGTCAGAGGTGCTCAGGTCAGGCCGCTGGGATTCTGGAGCTGCTCTGAGACTTGGGGGAAAATTAATGTTCTTATCCTACCGGCCCAAGAACAAAGTTTGACTTTAGACAGGGTGACTGTGCCACTCCCAAGCTCGGTGACTCCCGAGCCATATGTCAGACCCTTCCAAAGCCGAAGGCACCGTTCCAGCACCTCCCGTCTTGGAGTTGTTGGCAACACATCCAATTCAGAAATAGAAAGTCAGAGTAAGCTGACTTGATTTAAAAAGAAAAGATGAGTAAGAAACTCAAACTCCGATTTCGGACATGGAGTTCCAGGAACCACCGGGCCCCATCTTCCCTTACAAACCAGCAAGGACGGTTCAATGACCCACCAGGCCCTGTGTTTCGGCCCGACGCTCCCCGGCGCTCCTCGGGCGTAGATCTCCTTCATCATTGCAACCTCGCCAGAGAGGTTGCCTCAACCGAAACAATGCGACGCAAACCAAAGAAGCCGTCAACAAGCCAAAGAAAACCGTACAAATTACCAAACCCTGACATTGACATACACTGCTAAGTGAAACCTAGTTAAATAGCAAATCCGTCCCTGCCACAAAAGCCCCGCCCGTTCCGTCCACAAACGACCGACCAGTCGTCTTCAGCATGGGTGCCATAGGAGCTCACGCCATAGCCCGTCCAGGTCTTGATGGACCAGCAGCCGTGGCCGGGCAAGCAGTTCCGACACTGGTCCATGGGTGTACACTCCTGAGAGTTGGAGTGTTCAAGAACCGACCTAGAAATTGAAGGTTCGAAATCAAGAAGTTTAAAGGTTAACATTCGACTGGATAGGTGCTAAGCATGGCACCATCTGACAAGTATAGACTACTCCAGACTGTCTTTGGCTCCTCATTGGACACCCTTTTCCACGGTTCAGCTACATGTTACGCTTACCTTTTGCTATAACTGAGAACTATCTTTATCATAAGTGTCAAGTGAGTTCAAATAGGTGGGTCAAGAGTTCTTAGGAAAAAACTGATCTTGCACAGCTCATCTAGAGCTACGGAGGTCGGGTAGCTATGGGACGATACTTTACTAGCGAGGGCTTTGGTGATTAATAGGTTCTTTTCTTTGAAGAAACATGGATGGTGATGGCGTTCAAATCTCAGGGTTGGATACGTCCTCCGACTTCCTGTGTTTCTCTATGTTTCTACTTTGCTGAATTTTGCTCTCCGACGAGCAACGACGCGTTGATTGCTGCTTCTTTCATTTTTCGATTAAACGCTGAACTTGCTCAACTGCTGCTCAGAGTCCATGTTTTTGGCCTGGTAAGGCATGCAAGTCTCATCTGGGACATCATGTTCCTTCCTGAGGCGGCGAAATCCATCAATATATGAATACACAAAAACATGAAGAATAGCATAGAATAGCATTGCTTTTCTGGGGGGTCTCCAATTTCCAAACCACTCAAAGGTGGGTTAAACAGAACAGTCATGAACAGTCACTGAAAGTCAACCCTAACTCTCGCCGCTGCCGTGCAAAAGCAAAGAGAAACATGGCCCCTGTGGTGCCTCGAAGTCTTTGGCACCACTCCCAAATCGCCAAATCGCCAGGTCACAGGTACTGGTGGATCATCCAGGGATCTCCTCCGTCGCAGCCCGGCGGGGGCAAGCTCTTGTTCGGCGAGGGCACACAGTTCATCAGCACCTGCCTCGACAGCATCACGTCCTCAGCGAAGGCTGCAAGAGCTTCCAGTTGGAGAAACAGACCTTTGCAGCGTGGTTCTACTTAAACTGTGAAAAATAGACTCTCTACATAGAGAGAGATATATAGAGAGAGAGAGGGGGAGATGTGCTCAATGTTCACTCCTCAAAATAAGCTTAGACCGTTAGATCTGGACAAGTAAACCCACCAATGCGTGGGCACTTTCCGGCGCAAACCTACCGGGCTAGCTTTGGGTGAACACTTCGGACAGCCCCAGGTCCTGCAGCCTTAGCGCGGGCACAGTTCATTTGGAATGTCAATTTTGGCATGTCTACCTTGGATGAATGTAATTTCTGTCAAAGTAGGGGACCGTGGTAACCCTACTTTCTCTCACAACCCACACACGCCCAGGTGTTCTTGTTGACCCATCTTCATACACCGAAGCAAAGCCGTTCGTCGTTCGGCAACCGCTTCGGCCAGGCTGCGGGGAATTGGCCGTTGCGCATCACCTTGATGCGATCGTTCAGCGAGGCCGTGGTGCCATGGATCCAGCAGGACCCACCTCGGTCGAAAACACAAAGAAAATAGACTACTAGGAGCAAAGACGCTACTAGGGGCTCCTGGCCTTACTACTAGGAACAAGAAGCTACTAGGAGCAAAGGGCATCGCTACTAGGAACAAGGACGCTACTAGGGGCGCTCCTGGCCTTACTACTAGGAAAAAGATCTAAAATGCTGTGGGGGACGGGGCAGTCCAAGTGGCTGTTGCTTGGAGCTCAGAGGACCATCTCAGTTAAGCTGTGTTTCATTGCGCTTGAGGTGTTTGGGATCTAGTTCTGGAGTGCTAGGACAATACATATCCGCGGTTCCCAAGTGAAAAAGACGCTGAGAATTTAAAAAGAATGGTGTGGACTGGATCAATGTCCAGTCAGAACGGGTTCTTGCGAATCCACGTGATTGATAAGAAGTTGATGCTGTAGGGTAGAAGCGATGCTGGTGCGCCAACCAGCCACCTTGACCATGCTGTGGGCCAAACTGAGCTCAAACCTTCGATGCTGAGACCTGAGCACCTGGTGTCCCCCCCACACCAGTCTGAACCCCTCAAACCCTTCAGCGTCTCCTTACACCCCGACGAGCTGCCGCCACACCATCGAACCGCCGCCCCGAAAACGAGGCTGACAGCGGAGGTTCAAACCGAGCGGCAATATTGGGGAATGTGTTGATTCACGTCACTGGTCACCTGAGTCGGTTGTCCGAACGTGGACACGAAGGGACACGCAGGGGTTGGACAGGAACTTCATCCTGCTCGAAGGGCGGAACGTGAATGTCTTGCCCAGACTGCCTCTGAGCAGTTGTAACTAACTCGTGGAGTCTGCATTGCTGGAGGGACATGTCCTCATTTTGCAAACATTTGCTTGAAGAAATGAAGGTAGCCTAGTTCTTCTACATTCTTATTATCTCAAAAGTTCTTCCGATTGGTATGAGAGTCTTGCACACACAGATTCGATGCTATCCTGTTTCAACCCGAGTCTTCCCTTTGTTTTGACTTTGCGCTACAAGCTGTCAGTGGCTTTCCCTATCCCAGCTGGTACCAGGGTCTTTCTTCGCCCACAGCGCCGCCACGCGCCGCACGCCGCACGCCGCCTGTGCGTGCGTGCCGCCGTGGCACGAGATTCCGGCCATTCACGTTGCGCCAGTCGAAGTTCTCCGGCAAATCGTCTTCAGCAACCTGGGGAGAAGCTTCGGGAGGCTCTTGGGGATGGTTTGATGGATCTGGATATATGGACATATGGACATGGATGAATGGTTGACCTTGGAAGTATATGGGAACAGTCCATGGCTTGGGTTTGGAGCCCATCGATCCCCCAAGGTCACCCGAAGGAGGCTACAAAATATGGACTGGTAATTGGAATCCACCATGGAGGGACTGTACCTGATTGTCAGGCGAATGTACTGCATACATCTACATACCGGTGGGTTGTAATTGGATTGTCGTCGAGTCCCCAGATTCAGACTTTTTGGCCCCAACCCGTTTCCTGCGTCACCAGCTTGATTCAAGGAGAGAATTGGAGTCCACCCGTTTGGCGCCGTTTGGCCTCCATCCCGCCCCCATCTCGTGCGGAGCTCACCAGCATCTCCGCGGTGACCACGTCCTTGGGCATGTCTCGTGGCAGCCATGGGCGCGAGCTCCGGTAGCCTGGAGCAGCGAGGCGACCAAGGAGGCAAGAGTCTCTTTTGAGCGGTCGGTGAAACCAAAGAGTTCGTGACATATCTCGGTGAAGAAGGTTGGCCACTAAGTCACTAAGTCACCCAACATGTCCAGTCAATGGCACAGATCTTGTTTTCCCTGTCACATAGAGGCACATGTCATGTTCACTGGCCAAAAAGACATGTGGAAAATGGAAAGTCTACCTGCCGATGCTGAACCACCATACTTCCAGGTGCTGACTTTTGACCCAACGGGCCGGCTTCCAAAGTGGCAGAGCCCCCCCCCCCACTGCTCGAGCGGTGGACGGTCCCCTACACAGGTCGTCCCTGCAATGTGTCCGAGAACGGACCCAGTTTCAAGGCCCTGGACCTCCTTGTCCTGTTTCTCCATGTTGTTTGCTTCCACGTAGTTCCAGTTCCAAACCCTCTATGTGATGTTGGCTCAGCTGTGCAAATCCAGTATGGGTGTGAGCTTTCCAAATGTATTGACCCCATGGACTCGCCTGCACAGAACCATGTCAAGCCTGCCTCAAAGGAACATACACTTACGTAAAGTAAATCCGCCCGCGCCGAAGGTGCTGAGGCGTTAAACTCCGACTATGCGTTCATTGCTACAATTGCTTGAGCTAGGGGCTGCATTTTTGTGTGGCAACGAAAATGCATATTCGCATCATGAGATGTCTGTGAGAGTGTTCCCAGAATAGATCACAGTGTCGTTCAACTTTGACATATCCCCATAGCTGCAATCCCACTAACTAACTCCAGAGGTTTAGAAGCCCCGGTTCCTTCTTCCGAAAGAGATGAAAAGAGTAAGGAAAGTCCTTCGGGGAGTCTAAGCAACAGGAGTTGGCCAACTTCGGCCAAGTCTCCATGGTTCGCGGAGCTCGCAGAACCCAACCTAAGCTGCACAAAGCGTGAGGTAAACTTGTGTTAAGCAGAAGGAAACTTGCGCTCCTTGGGTTCCTTGGGTGGGTCATGTCCTCTCTCATGTTCTAGTCGCCTTCATGAAGTATGACGCGGGTCTTGTACGTAACGCGACGGGTGTAGATGCCTGCGGTGTGGCCAACTATTCGGTTCCACCGCTCCAGCCCCTCTAACCTGACACGAATGCGGATGAGCTGCAAGAGCAAGCAAGTGGCCCGGAAGGCCATGGCGCGTCTCTTTTGGCCCACTGCTGAACCCAAAACTAGCGCATTGAGTAGTGCATGACCAAACACGGACCCTCAGTCAGGCTCTCTTAAACTGTGGCTTCCATGTCCGTAAACCTGTTGCATGCACCCCAAATGGTGACGGAGGGTAGCACAAGCTACCCTCTTTACCAACATCTAGCAACTACGCGTTCAAACTCTACAGTATGAATGTCCTGGTGCTGCTTGTTCACCACTGGTGTTCGCGACGCTCCTCGATCCCTGAAGCAAACCAAACCATATGTCATATGTCAATCAATGTTCAGAAGTTTTGGCTCAAGTTCCAAAGACTAATTACTGTTGGGCGAAGCCATATAATTTGCCCCGAGGCACCACTTGGGATTGCCAATCTACCGTGAGGAGATTTGTCTCTACAATGCACTGCTCCTCACTTCTCCGGGTACCTTAGATGCCATTGCATCTGCAAGTCTTCCGCACTACCGTCTTGGTTGAGGCCGTGGCATGGTGAGCTCATGATGTGGCCCTCCATGGGAAGCCGTGGTGGCCTGGGACGAGGTCGAAAGGGCCAGGCCAAAAGGCCCGGCATGTTCCCGGTCACCCGTTTTGAGCCCGTACGAAACGCCCGCAACTCTCGGGCTCCCAAAAAAGAAGTGCACCACTTCCAGAAGGTTCAAGCGAAAAACATGATCCGGGGGCACTGAGTGTAACATAGTGTAACTATGCGCGAATTCAGAATTGCAAAGGGTTTCACAACAATCAGAATTATTGATTCGAATCCTAATGACCAGGACGGCTCGAGCATGCTCTGATTTCCGCAATTTTCCCTATCCTCCGGCTGATGAGAAAGGAGTTGTGACCCAGCTGCCAGCGCAGTCGTTTCCTGATGAATAAGGAATTGTGGATTTTTGCACATCTCCGTTAACTCCTTTGTCACTAGGAGGTAGTATATATATATATATATAACTACTACTTTGGGTGTGTGTGTGTGTGTGTGCAAAGTGCTGAGGGCTGGGATTTTCAGCCATCAATCTCTCAAACAACTACCAAAACACAATTTTAAAAAATATGTACAAAATCAATGGACTACTACCTGTGGGTTCCTACCAGTAGGTCACCACATGCTTGTGGGTTCCTGTGGAGCTTTACCTCTCACACTCAGCTCGTGGCATCGAAGCTCAGCTCGGCAGGCCTCATCGCCTGGTGACACGCCAGGTAACGCCGGAAGCACGGGACGGACTTCTGAAACAGAACAACGCTACTAGGGGCTCCTGGCCATACTACTAGGAACAAGAAGCTACGAACGGGGCTCCTGGCATCGCTACTAGGAGCAAGGACGCTACTAGGATCCTCTGGTGCCCCAGAACAGGTCTGGTGCCCCACAGGACTCTAAAAGTGACCAAAACAAGGATCCTCTGGGGCAGAATGACCCGCAAGACTGCTACTAGGTAGTTCTTCCGCATCACCGTCATTATTCAATATCATTCCAAGTCCACTGTGTACACGAAAGTTCCAAACCCCATGAAAACCGTCCCTCCAAAACTGTCCTTCTCCATCTCTCCCAAGTCAAACACACTCAGAACATCTTCCAACCCCAAGGGCCGCAAGACCCCACCTTGACCGCCTCATCAGCTGCCCAGCTCTGGAACTGTGCTGTTCTGTTTGCAGCCAACCAAGTGGGCCGTTGGCGCAGCTGCGGGCTTCGGTAGCTTGGGTAGCTTCGGTTGCGGAAAGAGATGCCAAAGGCCGATCTGTCATCAATGTGTGAGTGACCACCTGGCATAGCAGAGTTGCCGTGATTTACCAGTTGGGCTGCCAGAATGGAAAGGGTTCAACACCAACAGGAAGCTTGGTTCCTTCCACGGAAGCTGTTTTCCCACCCACACACACACACACATTGCCAACTCATGGCCACAGAAACTGACAGGGAAGCCAAACACCTTATTGCGTGAGTCATGTCCAACCCCTAAGAACTTCAAGAAATATTGGGGGCTGACCTGGGGTGGTTGGTCCCCAAAAGAGTGCCACCATTGTGGAGGATTCCTCTGAGATGGAAATGTCGAAGTGTTTTGTGAGAAAGTCAACACAAGCAAGAAGCACTCCTGCTCAGTCTGCAAGGCCTCTTTATCACAAGCGAAGGCTCAAAGCTGAACCAAGTGAGATTTTCTGAGAGCAGTTCGAACCGGACACGCTCAAACGAATGAAAATGTAAAGTCGTTGAAAGCTACAGCTACACGGCTGTACTTCATCCTTCCTCCATCTCCATCATGTCCAAATCAATTCGCATTTGGAACAAGCAACATCAGTCATCAGAGCCATCAGTCGTTTTTGTGGCTTCTGCTTAGTCCATAAACTGTCTTTACAATACAAGACCTACAAAAAGTGTAGGCATATAGTCTAGTGCAAATATCCAGTCTGCAACCCTCTTTCAGTGTCCATGTCACTTGCCCTGCACTGGACACACCGCTGGACATGTTCGAACTGCTCGGCCCCCTTTGTACAAGGCCGGTCGCAGGGATCCGGTCGGCACCTGAGGGATCGGGTCGATTGCTCGGTCCCACAGACCCAGCTTTCCGGCGAAGTGGTTTCTAAGGAAGGTGGGTCTGTGCTGCCATCTGACAATCCTGAGGTCGCCAAACACCAGCCCAACCTAGTGTAGAGTATAGAGGTTCCAGTAGCTGCTGCATAGTCAGACCTGGCTGAAATATCGGCCATCCCGTGGAAGGATAGTGATAGTGAAGTAGTGACGTGCAAGCAATTGAAAGCAAGGGATCTGGTTCAGTTAAGTCAGACTCGGACGGTCCGGTTTGGTCTGGCCGCTCCAAGGCAGACCAAGCCAAAGCAGCCCATCACCCATCTCAGACCATGTCCCTTGCATGTTGCCCCCGAAGAACCCATAGGAATGACACCCGTGAACGCCCAGGTGTCCACCCATCGCTTCAATGGGAATGGATGGGATCGGATCCAGGTCGCAATCGGACGAAGGGCTGGGGGTGCTTTTGAAAGACTTGTTGGATGAAGGGACCATTTTGGGCAAGGAGGACAGGGTCAAAAAGGGGCAACTTGCTCATGTTCGTCCCGGAATTCAAAGACCACTTGTGAATTGTGGATCCTCATGGATTTAGAAACAGGATGAAACAGGGAATGTTATTTGTGGATCAAATTCCAACATCAGGAAGGCCTTGGGATTGAAAGCAGAACCTGAGTCCGACCGACACACCCCTGAAGATGTCACCTTCTTCTCCATGAGGTGGTTCAGTTCCCGCAAGCTGCTTGCCAGATCTCAGGAAAACAAATACCTGGTGCTACAGGCGTTCAGCCAAATTGGAACGAAATAGCAGATCGTCTAAAAGGATATGTGGAAAACAGTGGAAACCAGTGGAGCGACAAAAAACAAGTCAGCGTTGATCGGCTTTGTAAAGCTTGACCTGCCCTATCAACCGAAAGTGTTTGGAAACAAAACCAATGGAACCTAATGGGGCCCAAAGTCAAAGCTTGCTTTGGAACGGACTCACCTGAGTATGATTCCACACAACACTTTCCATATCCGGCTGGCAGCTGAAGGTTGTGCATCTCGGACTCTCAGACAGTGTGAAAACATATGAAAACCACCAAATAGAGGAAGCGCCACCTTCCAAACCATCTTTGGCAGATTGTTATGCTTGATTACCAGGGCGTAGTGGTGAAAAGTGTAGGGCATCTGACTACGCCCAATGAGGAGTTCATGGGGTGGGAACACGTTGGGAGTCGATACTTGTGAAACACCGCAACAATCAAGGAACCAATGACCTCCAAACCTGTCTTCCTCCCCCCCCTCTCTCTCTCTCTCTCTCCTCTCACTCCCTGTCTCTCTCTGTCTCTCTCTCTCTCTCTCTCTCGCTCTCGCTCTCTCTCCCCTTGCCTGCTCTCACGCACCACGGACACGTCCAGCTCTCCTTTCAGGCAAGTGATCCGGCCAAGGGCATTCTGTAGAGCATTGCTTTGTGAAAACTCGAGAGGCGTGAGGCTCGTGGGGCCACTTTGTTGACACATCTTTCGTCACTAGCTTTTCCAACCCTGCCGAGCTGTCCCCATGTAACAAGAACCGCCCATGACGATTCGGTCGCACCCCACCTGGCAAGGGAACTTCAGGCACAGTTGGACCTCCCAAATGTACACAAAGGTCCTTGCAGTTCGGTCATGTCTCAGGTCTGTCTGTTCTTTCAATGCGTTTTTGGCTTCCGATGTTTTGCATCGTCCCCAAAAATCGTCCCCGATGTTTTGCGAGGTGCGCTTTCCCCAGCTGGGATAAACCCACAAACACGCCTCCAAATGGAATTCTTTATATCACAAGAAGCGGCTGATTGGTGGTTTGCTCAGTACCACAGTTTCACTTCAGAGGACTTGTCCAGTTGGACCCCAACTTCAGTCCACAGAACTGGCCCCGGCCAAACAAACGTCCCTTAAGGTGATTGAAGCTGGAGAAAAACGCCTGGGTTTTACTGTGGCAGGGGGAAGTGTAAAGTGTAAAGCGTCCCGAAGAGTGTAAAGTGTAAAGAGTTTTCCCACTGTCAACATTGCTTTGGTGGAAAGCAATTCAGGGCGACATCCCTGCAAGAGCTCGCGGGGGAAAAATGCCAAAGGGGGGTGTTGGCAATCCTTAGGGGGACGTCTTGCTTTCAGCTGAGCCCCAGTCCTCGTATAAGTCCTGCAGCACTGGCTTCTGGTAAAGCTCGATGAAGGCTTCCTGACGGCATTTCTTCGCGCATGGGAAGCTCGGAAGGACAGCTCATCAGTTGTCACAGGGAGATCAAAAGCACAGTTGTCTCTGATACCTTTGGAGCTGAGAAAATGGTTTCACATCTGAGTGCCGAGGGTCATCTGAGTTAGCGGAGCAAAGCACTGAGATAGCGATTCTCAGTCATCTGAGTGCCCCGAGCACGAATCTCTTCGTTCAGCACAGGGATGTCTGCTGCATGGCTCCAGAAGGAGTCGTGCACCTGGAGCTTCAAGGCTAAACGGTGTTTTTTTGTGGAAAGGTCCTGACAGACGTCTTCCACCCTGACTGATGCGGTCAGTCCATCGATTCTCTATTGTCCATTCCAGGGGAGGTCAGAGTCCATCACATCGCAAACGTTTGGAGTGAGAAGAAAAATCACGGACGCGTGACGACAACCACAGGTTGGTGGTTGTAGCATCTCAGACTCACCGATTGGCACAGTGCCCTTCTATCTGTGTATACTGCATACATACACAGTCATGCACTTAATTTGAGCTGCCAAGCCATGGGTCTGTGTGAACTACATAAAGCAGTTTTCGTCAATCCAAAATTATTCCTCTGCAAGAGGCTAACATTCACACTCTCCCACTTCGATTTGCATCTTGCACATCCATACGAGCGATAGAGGAAGTGGTGTGGCCCGCAGGTAGGACACAAAACAAGCACGTGGGCCAAAGAACTCACGTCTCAGAAAGTCCAAAATTAATTGGCCCCTGCCACAGCCTGCCACCAAAAAAGTCCCAAACCAAAATTGACCTGAGATCTCGGTCTGTTGGGGCTTGCCCAAACTCACCCTGCACCGGGCCCCATCACCGCTGCAAAGGCGATTTGCCGTTGCTGGCATCGTTCCGCCACCATCATCATGTGCGAGGCCTCTGCGTTTCCCCCCCCAGACAGGCGGGCGGACCCGGCTTCCAGCACCCGAAAAAACAGTCTCAGACGCTGATCACGGCTTCTGCTGGGGCCACATTGGACCATGAAAGCACGTAGAGATACAGAAGCTGACCATGCATAACCGGGCGACGCCTAAGAAGCATCGCCTAATATAGCTGATCAGGGTTGCATTGAAAGAAACTGATTATATAGGCAAACTGTTGGGTCAGAGTCCGAACATGTCGGTGTGGTCCCATTGAGCTTCATGAGCTAGCGCATTTGGCACTGCCAGAATGAATGCCACAACCAATTCAAGGGCTCGAAAAAGGAACGCCCCCAACGCGATGCTTTCCTTTTGAGGGAGGCGGTCCCTCCGTCATCCTCCGTCTCTCCAAGTCGTTCCCCTGAGGTCCTGGCATCTAAGGAATGAATGAAGTTGGGAGGAAAGCCCATCCGCTGCTTGTTCTGCGGAACAAGCGTCAGGGTCTCCAGAGTCTCCGTGTTGGTAAGTCTAAGCCAGGTGACAGCTCTCACCATGACACACAAACCGGATCGGAGATCGCTGGGTGAGGCTGCGTTGACTTCGGTCTGAGGAGATTGGTCGGTGTGATCTAGTCGAATCGGTTCTCATGTGTGTTCTAAGTGTTAAACAGTTAAACACGTTAAGCACATCCTATCACATGAATAAGGCAATCAGCATGGTACTATTTGTTGCCTGGTGCCATGTTTGAAAAGGAACGTGACGGTTGCTCATATGATGTTATATGAAGTTATATGGTTGAAATTTTCAGCAAGATAGCTCGGCATGCACCAAGCAGCCATCTACTAATGGCAAGCAAGTTGGTTTTCTGATGTTTTTTGAGTGCCTTTGCATGACTCCTTCATGGACAGCCGGAAGATATGTAGACAGTGAATTTATGTTATTAATTATTAGCCTCGCAACGGAAGGGCTTGGGTGTGTACGATGACAATTTGTTGCTCCCTACTCAGGTTTGACACTTTGACCCAAATGTGTTCGAAACCTTCTCCTCAGCACGGAAAAGGTCGAAAGAAACTCAACATCTTGGGGGAGTGCACCAAACTGTTCGCTGGCACTTGTTCACCCAAGTATCTTTGCTCATCCTGGTTCAACTGTCCGACACAACGTCCCTCAGCCACTGTTGCATAGGACGTTCAGAAACCCCGCCTTGTTGATGGGCACATCATCGCCCGTCCGGAGGCTCACCTGGCATGACGCGTGTGGGAAAAACGCAAATGACACGATGCACTGACATCAACAAAAAAACAGCGAGTCCGGTTTTCCAGATGTCTTACATAAACTAATGTACGTATCTCAATGATAAGACATTTCAGGCTCGTGGTGCAGGAGGCTTTTTTGGGTGGGTTGAGGGTTACAGGGTGTTCCAAGATGTGGCAGCGGCATCTTCTTTCTTCCAGGGTGGCTTGCGCAATTCACAAACTCTGGTCGTAGAACGCACTGGAGCCCAAAAGATTCACATCCAATCGCCCACATGTGTGGAATTTCATGGACTTGGTTTCGTGGTGACGACTTCGGCGTGTACACTCTCCACCGCAGACGGACACAGAAAATCCGCTCACCGTCTGGCGCTTCGAGCTGATGACCACCACTTTGGGCTTGTGGTAGGGCTGTGCACACGCCAAGCCCACCGGCGAGATCCAAGAGATTGGCGCCTGGCGGCACGGGCCCACCAACGTGGGCGGAAAAAGGAAAGCACGGGCGATCTGGATGGCAATGTTCTTAGAAGAAAGAAGCTGCCCATACTACGCTTATCAACTTATCAAGCCCTAATGACCATACATCACCACCTCACCTGCGCAGTGGACTTACCCTCTTCCCCAGTCTCCCCCGATCGCCCAGCCCAAGCCCTCAAATTGCTTGGAGAACCTCTCTCTCTCCTCGAGCCAGTGTACTTCTTTAAACTTCAAGGACCGCCCTTGCGCAGCAAACCCGTCCTCGGCGCTGTTGAACAACTTGCTGATTTGCTCGAACCACGTCTGCAGATATGTTCGGCGAGGTGACCCGTGGGAACAAGCAGGATGAGGTCGCACATTTTGTTGAAAGAAAGTTGAGAAACACGTTGAACGCGCTCAGGAAACAGCGGAAGAGCATGTCCACTGCCACTATCTGTGTAAAGGGAGTGGCGTCTGGACAACATCCACCGCGACCTGGGAACTAACTACATATGGGGATCCAGATTTCTACAAAGACTTACGGTGTTTGGGTATTTGCATGGTGCAGCTCCGCAGGCTTTTGACCATGGACAATAATGGACAATGGCTTGATCCATCTTTCTGAAAGTTTGCCTCGACAACTGGGAGAAGCCCCGAACTCCTATGCCTTGATGTACTTTTCCCACCATGTGGTGTCTGGTGAGTGCTCAAGTCTGTGAGACTGCGACAATGCACAGAATGGTCAAGAAATGCCGATGTTCAACTCCTGGCCTTTCTTTTGATGGTGGTCATTGGAGGAGTTACCCAAAACCAGCGAAACCAGCGTAAACCGTCTCGTCTCCAAGGACTCCGCGACCGTCTGCGCTCATCGCGACGTGCATCGCCTGGATTTTCTTGGCTTCGCTGAAGACGTCTTCGATGGAGTTCAAGACCATCCTTGAGACGGCACCCGGTTCATTGCGAGCTGGGCTGCCAAACAAAACCAGTTGAAACCGGTTTTCATGGGAAGAGTCCAAAAAGACTGGATCTGGGACAATTTGAGGTTTAATGTCGTCATGAGGTTGTCCGCGAATTCAAGGCGGCGGCGGGATGTCTCATTCCGCGCGCACATGGTAGACACTCACCACTGGTCTTTGGGATCTATGGACCCACAAGACACCGGCGAATAGCGAACGAAGGGGAATCCTGAACCATATTGCATGCAAACGGGTGGAATACGTTGTTTACAGTTGGTATCTCAGGTAGTAGAGGATGTTTTTCACTATATATATATATATTGTATATGGGTCCCTAGTTAGTTCCGTGGCATCCCCATCTGAGGCTTCAATGGTTTTTACGCTCGCATGTATGCATGCGGAGTACTCCAACCCATGGCGCAGACGTCTTCGATCCAGTTCATCGACATCTTCGATCGACCGACTGGGGCACGTGCCCGGAGAGGTAGACGGCCAAGGCCTTGATCTCTTCAGCTTCCACCTGCCCAACATCCAACAACTTCCAACTGCTTTCACCACTCATTCACTCTGGCACTGGGGGAAACGTCACCGGTCGTATTTCGAGACATTCTAGTCTAGTGTCCTGCCCAGCACACAAGGGACCCAGAAAGAGCTGTTTTTTGGGCGATTCGCTGTGAACAACAAACATTCACTGGCGCTTGTCCAATCCATGCAAGTTCTGAAGGTACTGCCGAGCCCTGAAAACCCACTGCCGGGATGCTCAGTGCCTCAACTGGAACCACCGGTGGGCAAGCAACGTGCGTCTGCTTCAATGGTCGCTCGTCTGGACACAAGTAACAAGAATTTGCAAAGCTCTGCTAACAACATGGTTCTAAGCTGCTCCAGAAATGGTTTTAGGCTCCTTTGCTCCATCATCTCCAGTTGTCAGACCGGCCATCCGAACCTTCCGAACCTTCCATCCTGACCACAATGCTATGGGTGTCACGATGCTTATGCTCACCTCAGCTCTTTGCCAAAGGCGCAGAATCCCTCCCGGTCTGATCCCCCTGCGGGCGCTCCGCGCCTTCTCGCCCACACTATCCTCAAGCTGCCCTTGGACTTGTCGCATGGCACCCAACTGGCCGTCGCTTCGTTTTGGGCTCCCAGAGCAGGTTCGAAAAATACACCAGCTGTGGCAGTACTTTTCGAGTGGTCCATGATAGTCCATTGGGCTTGCAAAACGTCTTTTGCCAAAATCACCTGTCTGACCTCTGTCGGTCCTCTGCCCACCGGCACCTCCACAGCCTGGTCCTTCCGTCCTCCCAGGTGTTCTTCCAAAGCGACCAAAAAAACACGAGTTATCAGGGGCCTGGAGAAAGAAAACACCTCTATTCTGGGAGAAGACCACAATTTGAGATAGCCTTGGAGATGCACATCTTGTGCTTTTGAACAGGGTCATTGTACCGATGAATCATGACGAACGTACGTTCCTGGGAATCACCATGTGTTCGTAAGCTCGGCTTTGTTTCGGTGATCAAAGCCCTGAAGCCCACCCAATGTGGCAACATGTTGAGTCGAACGTCTCCTGCAGATGTTCACAAAAATGCCTTCCGCCGTTCGAGTCTATGACTTGACTTACACACAATTTTTGCTGCTGCCGCATGCACAGCTCGCCCTTTTCCCCTCGCGGAAGATGTTGGAAGGCATGCACAGCTCTTTCCATAGCGAGAGGCTTGTGCGAAAGTTGGGATGTGTTTGATGCTTTCAGGCACTAGCATAGTAGCGGACGGACCTACAAACCAACTATATAATGTCCGAGTCCAAGGCTTCTCCGCATCATTGTTGCCCCAAACATGCACGTTCAATTCTTCTCCCTGTTCCTTTCAACATGTTTATATTACTCGTAAGGGCACAACAAAACCTCTATTTGCACTGTCTTGTCGTGTTGCCTTACGGTTCCAACTGGTTTCAGGGGTGTCGATCTTTTAGCCATATCCAAATTCCTTGCCTGGGTTGGCTCAATATGAGGGAACCTGTCCTGCATTGGACCAAGTAGTTCAATAAAAATAATGTCGCTGCCCAAAGCTTGTAGGTGTCTTTCCAGGAGGAGTCTGGTCGGCCTGGCACAACCCACACAGCTCACATACAGTAGCAACTTAGTAGTGGAAAATATCGTCGAAACCCCTGCAATGCAGTCGGATTGTCAATTGTCAGGCATAAAGGATTGTGTTGATTTGTGGAGATCACCTAGTCGCATCTAATATAATGGAATTCTACCAAGATCTTTCCTACATGTTCCTTGTGCGGTCGTGCGTGGCATGAAGTGAGCACAGCTCTCGCGTCTTATTGGGACTGCTCGTGGGCTTCCCTCAGCCCCGCGTCGATAAACTGAGTCAAGGTCTTCACTGAGGGGTAATCGAACCTCGGTGTGAAGGCTGGATGCACATTGACCATGCTTGATGGCTGGTTTAAGGTAAGTGGTCATCATGTGGGCTTCTCTGACACGAATGTATTTTCTTGAATCCAATCAGATGTTGATCTCTCAGGGACTCAAGCCCTTGTGGAGTTCGTTATGTAAGTGGCGTCTTCTGGGTTCAGCGTAAAATGGTGATGTCCTTCTGTCCTTCCTCTTCAGTGCCTTGCCCTAAACGGATTAAAGGTTACCACTCCCAGCAGCCACTTAGGCAACGGTGATGAAATGGCAAATGGAGGGTGGTAGACATATGTTACGCCATGGGTGATGGGTGATGGATGGAGGGCGGCTGTCGTAGTAACTGGCTCCAATCGAAATATCCTCTACCATCCTCTACCAGCACTCTCCAAGACCAAGACTCGAACACTCGACCACCGTCACACTGTGTGGGGGCATCCGATCTCGGGTCGATCAGCGTTCCATCTGAGAGGCATCAGCGTCCCAGGCATCTGCAGTCCAACAAAGTCCTGAAGGCTGCTCTCATGATGAACAAGAAACATGGTGGAGAAGACTCAGTGACAGTATCTAGAGGAGAGTACTCAAGCCATGCCAAAGCCAAACGGTTCTGCATGGTTCTGTCGAACCATGTTATTTGTAAGAGGGTGTTGTTTATGTTTGTGTGAACAAACGGGTGGCAAGTGGCAAATATATACATAAAATAAGTATATATATAAATATAATATAAGTATATCATACACTGTAATGTCCCTGAGGATTCAAGTGAGAGACCCTTCAATCATGACAAGACTTCCATGAACTCCTGGCTCTTGCGTGAGAAAAGTCATCTTTGCTGATCTCCAATAAATTGCTGTGGGTCGCCAAGTCGTCTCCTCCAGTCTCCCCTTTCGCACGAAACGCCTTGGAGATGGCGTTGGCGAACTCCACGGCTGCCAGGGAGTCCAAGCCGGCATCCATCAATGGCTCGTCATTCGCCAAGGTCTCCACACCTTAATCACGTCAAGCAAGGTCATGCAAGCAAGGGTAAGGGCTTCCGAGCAGGTCAAAGCAGGCTACAGGCTACATGCAGATACTGTATATCCACAAGGCTGTGTCTTGAGGACAACAGTTCACTGCAACTGCCATACCACTCACGTGCTACCTACATACTGACGGACTTATCTTACGTGCACCAGTCCTTGGGTTTTCATCGGACTTGGGCTTCTGGTAACCACCTGGGTCAGAGAACCTACACTCCGCAGCCACCAAGCATAAGCGACGCCAGCGAAAGCAAACTGGAACAACCTGATGGATTGAAAAAAAAAACACTGGAAGGCCCCCATCCCACTAGTCTTCATGAGTTGATTGGGCATGTTTGATCATGTTTGCAGGGAATTCCAGCTGCAGAAGACCTTATTTTGTGGTGGGATTGCTCTGTCACCCTGGCTTCCATCGCGGAGGGTAAACCCAAGGCGCAAAAGCAAAATGGCGCACGGCGACCCTTTCCCCAGGCAATCATAAATCTGATTTGCCAAATCCCTGTTGAAGCAACACCACAAAAACACCACAAAGCATACAAAGACTGGCCTGTTGAGCCTGTTGAGAGGAAAGCAACACCACAAAATTGCACTTGGTGCTAGGGCCGGGTAGGTGAAAAACCACCAGTCTTCTTGTCACATTGTCTGCATCAACCGTAGCATATAAATATAGTGAAGATGAACAATGACCGGCAGGATGCTGTCCTAGGCTTGATGAAACACCTCCCAAATATGCCCATTCATCTGGATGTCACGTAGCTGGTATCAGGGAGCCCCTTGCGAAATAAGCCACTTGCGGGGCAGGTCTTCGGATCCTCATACTGTTCTGACAGTCTGACACCGGTCTATAAATAGTATCCAAACTGGTCTGAACTCCGGTGAAACTCCGTCGCGGTGAAACCCGGCTCCTACCACCTCGCCCCAGCGGCCGATCAGCGAAAGCGCCGTGTCCTTGACGACCTCCTCGATCTCGTTCACCGACGGGCCTGGCGCCAACCGAGCTCCACGCGGTCTCCCAAAGGCGGAGAACACAGGTCGGCGGAAGTTCCGATTGGAAAGCGGGAGTAATTATACTATATATATAAACTTGCCAGTGCTCTGAAGAAGGTGGAGGTTTGTGACTACTTTCCGACACACTCTGCGGTAGCTGCCTTTTTTGACTTTCGCCAGTTGAGTACCCATTTGCAAGAATGGCCTATGCCTGCCTTTATTCCTTGGTCTAAGGTTGAGCTTGACCAATGGCACTCTTCTTGTGCTCAGAGTGCTGATTGGCAATGGGGTTCCAATCTGACTGAGGATTTTGGAAAGTGGTGTGGGCGCTTTGAATCTTCTCTGGATGGTCATGGCCACTATCCAGGAGGTCGAGCACTACCTCGTGCATTTCGTGGTCGGGGTTCCAGGCTTGAGACTGTGGGAAGACGCAAACAAATTCGTCTTTTGAGACCATCTAGAAAGGGGGAATGTGAGATGTCTGATGAAATGCTCGGTCATCGGGTGCAGCAATGGTTTCGACAACTTCGGCGGTTCCAGTCCATGGTTCATGCTGTGCGGGCTGGCAAACAATCGATGGAAGCCCTGTTGTACAGGGCTCAGCTCTGGGGAAAAATCCGTCGTGCTGAGGGATTTGAGGGTGGATTCCTGGCCTGGTGGGAAGACCGTGAGGTGAAACATACTTCCTGCCCTGTGATTTTCTCCGAGACGGTTCCATCGCTTGAAGCTGCAGAGGCCTATTTTGCTGATTTTGAAGCCAATTACCGCCGTTTCAAATGACTGCAAGACGCCAAACATTGCAGGCAAGATTCTCTGCAGATGACAATCTTGTTTTTCGTCTCTTGAAAAAACCCATGGAAGCCCAATTGGAGGTCTTGGAAGTGGATACCAGGTTCACCATTGAGGAGGTCAATGCTAGAGCTCAGGTCCGGCTTTTTGTGGACCCCAAATTGGACCAGCGTCATATGATTGATGGAGAACATGTCCGCTTTGAACCTGTCTCGGACTCTTGGTTTGAAGTGCATGGGGACACTTTGCTCATTCCAGGGCAAACAGTTGTCGAGACAGCCTCTGTGTGGGGTGAAGCTGAGATTGCCAACCATTTGATGCAAGAGTGGGGGGCAAGATGGGGCCGCCATGACTCAGTCGACCATGACAGGTGGACTGGGGTTGTCAACTTTGCAAAGGCCTTCATGCCTCGGCTTCAGATTGAATTGGAACCAATTTCTCTGCAGCAATGGAGGGTGGCCTTGCAAGGCTTCAAAGCGGGCTCTGCAAGGGGGCCGGATGCCTGGGCTCGGGAGGACCTTCTGCACATGAGTGAGAAGCACCAGACTGAACTGCTGGCGCTGTTTCGCCAAGTGGAGGACACTGGCTGCTGGCCCAAACAGATGACCACGGCGATTGTTGTGCTTCTCAAAAAGCATTCCGAGGCACGTTTGATTGGTGAATTCCGACCGATTTTCCTTTTTTCGATGCTTTACCGTGTGTGGGGATCAATCCGAACCAAACAAGTGCTCAGGCAGATAGAACCGTTTGTTGAAGCTCAGTGTTTCGGTTTTTTGCCTAAGCGCAGTGCCCTTCAATACTTCTTCATCATCCAAACGGCTCTTGAGCTGGCCCTGCAAAGTGGTGAGAGCTTGCAAGGCTTTGTGGCAGATGTTGTGAAAGCTTTTAACTTCATTCCCAGGTTTCCAGTTTATGAGCTGGCAAAGGTGATTGGAGTCCCAGACAGGCTGATTCGGCCATAGTCTTCCATGCATTCGCAGCTGGAGCGACGATTTCGTGTGAGATGCTTCACCTCTCCTCCTATTCTAAGCATGACTGGAATGCCAGAAGGGGATCCCCTTTCCTGCTTAGGCATGGTCCTATGTGATATGCATTGGCACTGCTACATGAAAAGGTACATGCCTGATATTCACTGCATTAGCTACGTTGATAATCTGACGCTGCTTTCAACGGAGCTGCCACAGCTGGTTCAGGGCACACAGGTTTTTCAATGCTGGTTGGAGGCTTTTGATTTGCAACTGGATGCAAAGAAGTCCTACACATGGAGCACCTGGCCCATGCACAGACGGCAGCTTCAATCTGCTGGCTTTGCTGTTAAGCAAGAAGCTGGTGACGTACGGCCTTCGTCGTCAGGTAGCATCTCGAGATGACCGATTGCATTCTGTCGAATCTTTTTGGCCGATTCTGGCCAGATCCTCCATCCGCGTGGAACAAAAGATTAAGGGCATCAAACAAGTGCTGTGGCCAAGGGCCTTGTATGCATCTTCAAGTGTTTTGGTCCCTGATAATGCTTTGAAGATTCTGCGTACTGGTGCCATGCGAGCTTTGCGGGCGTCTAGAGCTGGCGCCTCTCCGCTGGTGAGATTGGGCTTCCTTCATGACCCCTTTGTGGATCCTGATTGCTTCCAATGGTGGCAGGTGCTTTTGGACATCAGACAAGCTGTTCGGAAGTTGACAGGCATTAATCTTGCCTGGAATCGTTTCCTGGAACAGTATGACGGTAAAAACAGTTCTGGACCTTTTGGCAAACTGCTGATGCTGGGTGACAGACTTCAGTGGACCTTGCAGTGCAATTTTGCTGTGGTTACCATTTCTGGCCTGACATTTCACCTCACTGAGACTTGTGAAGCTGAATTGCGGATCATTTATCTAGATGCGTGGTGGACTGGTCAATCAGGGCTCATTGCCCAGCGGCAGGATTTTGAGGGTCTGAAAGGGGTGAACTTTGACATCACAACAGACAATGCTTGGCTCCAGAGCCGTAAGCAACTCGCTCTTTTGTACACATGCATGGATGGCACTTTTTTCACTGAAAAGGCACGTTCTTATTTTGACACTACTCGTAGTGGCATGTGTCGCTACTGTGAGGGACCGGATACATGGGAACATCGCTTGAGGTGGTGCCCGAAGCATGAGCATATTCGTCAACGCTATGGCCGCTTGCATCAGCAATGGCATGCCCTACCCAAATGCCTTACCACGCATGGCATTTGCCCGAGAGTTCCCGCTCAGCATGATTTCTGGAGGGCACTCCAGCAAATTCCAGATTGCACGGAGGATTTCGCTAGCCTGGCTTTTTCTCATTCTCACCTTTTTGTGGACGGCTCTTGTATGCACAGCGCTACGCCGGACAGGGCTCTGGCGGCTTGGGCCGTAACCACTAAGGACCTGGTTGTTAGCACGTCGCCCCTTGGTGGACTAAGGCAGACCATCTCTCGAGCTGAGCTGACGGCCTTTCTGTCAGCTTTACGATGTGCGGGACGACTAAGGAGGGAAATGCACATATGGAGAGATAGTGAATATGTCCATGATGGTTTCCTCAGCCTTTTGCAGAACCAGGATTTTGAAGAGAGGGAGAACTCAGATTTGTGGCACCAAGTGTTTATCTGTTGGGAGCTGCTTGAATTTCCAGTGGTGGTTCACAAAATTTGGTCGCATCTTTCTGAAGCTTTTTCGAGTGATCCTTTTACGGATGTCTGGATTGCTGGAAATGCACTGGCCGATCTGACGGCCACCACAACTAATCGGCATCGTTCGAGCGATTTTCTTGCCTTGCACAAGCGCCTATGTGGCCAGCTGCAGCACTTCAGACGAATGACCAAGGAGGCCAAAAGTTTCTTCTTAGAAATTGCGGAGGCACATGAGTCGATCTCTTCTGAAGATGCGCTGGAATCGCTGAAGCTGAGTGAACTGAGCGGGCATAGAGTCATCAATTTGAATTCGTTTGTTTTTCAGCATTTAGATTTGCAGGCAAGTGGTGGCCAACTTGAGAGCTCACAATTTGCCCAGATCTTCGGGAGGGGATTTGTGTTTTCTGTTTTTGATTGGTTGGTTGATTGTGAAAGCATGTCGGATGGTACTTCTTTAGTTTCCTTCCTGGAGTTGTTCATTGGCTGGCGAATGGCGACTGGACACCACGTCCCAGTGGAGGATCCCATCACACGAAAGTGGGTGGATCCGGACCATTTGTTGGTTGAATATTTTAGGGGCACCCTTGCACACCGGATGTCCATCTTTCGGAGAGTTTGTTGTGGTATTTTTGAGGAGTTGGGATTGGGGGTTCAGCGTGGTGATGTGTTGCTCACGCATTCTCATGTTATGAAGAAGATGTCGGGTGTGCTGCTGTGCTGGCCGTCCAAGCTGGCGGCGAAGGTCGATGCTTTTATGTATTCGCCTGAAGTTTCATCGATCCCCGCTTCGTACTAATGTCGATTTGGCTGCTAGTTGGGATGTTGAGGAGGAGGAGGACCTTGAGGTGCGTGGATGGTTCAATGGCGATCGATGAACGAGGTGCGACGGGACAAAGATGCCCCCTCCGGCTTCACCGCCTAAATCAGGCCGTGACGGATTGGGACCGCAAGTCGCGCTATACTATATATATATAATCGTTGCTGGTGACGAGGCCACTAAGCTCGCTAAATCCTTTAGCGACGATCTATTTGCAAGACACCAAGCAAAATGCAAAAAGTCAAAAAGTTAGTCACGAAAGCACGCAGCGACGAGACTGTTCAAGACGTTTTGACTGTTCGCTGTTTCGAGATTTTGGGACAGTCACATGCCGTTCCCCTTCATCAAAAGTCCTACAAACGTTGCTTTTGCTCCTACAGATATAGGTATCGGTATAGGTTGCTGTTTTCCAGACATCTCCAGCCGTGTCAAAGTGAGTCAGCCTCGAGCAGGAACGCCTTCAAAAAAGAGAATCCCGCCAAAAGGACCCGGCAAGCCCCCGGACCTTTTGGCGGGTGACTCTTTTTGTCATTGTTGCCTTTTCGTGCACTTTTCGACGGTTCGACTTTTCGCGACGTTTCGACTTTTCGACTTTTCGCAAAAAGTTCGGAGAGCAAGTAGATCCAGCTCACACATTTAGCAACCACAGCGAAGCCATGTCATGTCTCAAAGCGACAAGCCTGGAATCTTGGACTCCAAGATTTTCCTTAATCAACGGGGCGTCAATGGCCTTCGTGCATTAAAAGGTCAGGTGCATGTCCATTGCCAGCCAGTGCTTCTATCGAGGCCTTCACACGTCTTCTGAGGGTCTAGGGGTATGGGCGGTGTCAAGGCACTACAGGGAAGACTGGTGTTGCTCACAATTGACATTGATCCGTTCAACAAAAAATATACGTGTAAAGTTGATGAAAATTTGACCACTTTCCTAGCCCCGGCCTTTGTATGGCCCTGGCCCGCTCGCCAGCTGCTGGCTCGCCGCTGGAGCTCCACCCATCGTGCCGCCCTGCATCATGGGCTGCACAATCCTCGGCAAGACACACGACTTTGGCACTTTGAGGATCTAGTGAATCACCGCACGAATACCCACTTGGATGAAGTCCCCTTCTTCCCTGCCACTCATCACAAGATGGGGAGAGGATGTGTAGGCATCGGACGTTGTGCAAGTGTGGCAAGAAAAAAATTGTAGAAACTCTGACTCAGACTCAGGATGGCCATACTCACAGGAAGCTGTACATAGCCCCCTTCTCAGTGAGGGCACGACCGACCTCCGACGCATAAAAATGCATAAAATAGATCCACAGAGGGGAAACACCCGAAAGGTAAGTTGCAAGAAATCTGATTCGGGGTGGTCAATATTGGCTGTGACACCGCAAATGATACCTTTTCGTCAAGCCTTCAGTGTCAGATCTTTTGACCTCGGGTCCGCTGGTTGCGCTGGGCCACAAACCTGTCCGGATGTCTGTTCTGGAGCTCTGGTGCCCGGGCCCACACCACACTCCAGGGCACTGGATTGGCTCGGCGACCTGGTTAAACTGCATCTGCCGTGGCGGCGCCTGCCGCGCCGCCCGTGGCTTGGGGCGGAACTTCTTCACCATACGGGTGCGCTTCACCACTTGTCCTGGCGACCGCTGGCAGGCTCCGATGATGCTCATTGACCGGCGGCCACTCGAACCACTTGGAATTGCAACTTTCCATGTTCCCGAAAGGAAAAACTAATCAGACTCTTACTCATTGACTCATTGACTCCTCATCCCCCCATCAAGCGAGCTTGTTTCGGACCTGCTCCGGCGCCGCTGGGAGCATTCTGGAGGCTTGCTTGTGCCTTTTCGTGGTTCTCGCGCATGCTGCTCTCAATGAACTCCGACAAGAGCTTTACCGAGGGGAAGTCGAACATCATGGTCGAAGGCAAGGCAATGCCTCCGAGCACGAGCGGCAGTGCCACAGTGCTCTTTCAGAGGTGTCATTGCAAAACACGACTGTTTAGCGGCGGTGTCGCTGTGCTTCCGACACGGAGAGTCCATTGAAGCACACGACTTGTTTACGTCGCACACCGATGTCGCTTCGTCCCAACATTGTGTCACGCCTTGCTGTGGTCTGACTGCTTCACAAATCACCCATCCATCCGCTTGGCTTCGATGCCAAACGAAACGCGAGCAATTCTGCTGAAGAAACATGGCCACAAGGGAAAACCCCCAAACCACCAAAAAAAACACTTGGCAAGTCGGCAAGTCTGTCTTGCCCCAACCTGAAAACTCTTTCGCCAGTGTGTTCCCAAACTCCACGGCTGCGAGACTGTCCTCGGTACGGTGTGTCTGGCACCCGGGCATTCCGGGATTCCGGGGAATTCAGGCCACCGGACCCCTATGTCTCTCTCCACACACTTGTAGTTTTTCCTCCTATGTCCTCCTGTACCTATACAATCCGATACCATCCTACACCCACAAAACAAACAAACAAACAAACACGTGACTCACTCTTCCCTAGTGGTGGAAAACATCTGGCGCTTGGAAATCGCCTTGAATCATTTTTCTGGCGTAAAGGGTCCATGATCTAAGGTCTTGTCGGCATCTCTCCTTTCAAGAAAAGACTTACAACTTGGCTAGACTTGCCACTCTCTTCAGGCGTCAAAGGGACTAAGCCAGCATCCATGAGAGGTTCATCGTTGTCGAGAGACTCAACTCCGATGAGGCCCAAAGCCACATCACCTGAGAGGCGCGTCCGGCGATGGGACGAGGAGTCCAGGTTGGTTCCGTGGTCGAAACGACCACAAGGCCTAAGTGCCCCCAAACATGGGACCTCATTGAATTCCGCCTGTCTAGAGGAAATGTATATTTCCAGTCCCGCCCGCCGCTGCTTGCTGCTAAAGGACTGACCACGGACACCACCTCCTCTTTGGTGGGCCCACTGTAGGGCTGAACTTGACCCTGCCCACCGGCCACAGGACCTATGGGCAGGCGCAAATCAACATTCGCTCATGTGTGCCCTGCACACCTGAGAGAACTCCCTGTCACTAGCTTCGACTGTGCACCAGAATCAGAATGAATATATATATATATAATAGAGATACAGTATTGTGTTTGTTTAATGATCTATGTAACAATATGTATGTCTTCTTCTTACGAGTTGGACCAAGAAAGACCGCCTCCTCCCACGATCTCTTCGTAGACTTCTTCCTCCCAATACTCTTCCATTTCCTGGCGCCGCTGGCGCCATTTCCGGTGACCGAAGGGAAGACCTTGAGGTGTCTGACGAATGGGTTTTGGTGCCACCGGGTTTGGGATTTGTAGTCATTTGTCGTCTGTTCAGCTACCACTACGATTTGGTAGGGATGTCATTGATGTCATGAAGCATGTTGCCTTCAAAACTGGTCTGGTGACCAATGATAAAAGACAGAATAGAACTACCTCGACTGCACTCTTGAGGCTTCCTGTCCAACTTCCAGCTCCGCACATCCGGTGGCCCTATATAAGTTCACCCCGCCATACCATACATGAAAAGGTTTAATTGAGACTCCATGATGGGAGCTCCCCTCAGGTTGTTCACATCTGGCCAACCAGACTTGGGGACCATTCAGCTCCGTCCTCGCCCTCGCCGGCGAAGTAGCTCACACCGCCGGTGTTGGTGGGGCGAACGCCCACGGTCTTCGGGGTGATCCTGGCGGCGAGGGTCGCGGATCTTTCCGTTGCCGTTGCATGGATGTTCCTCAGACGGGGACGAGGATGTGGGTCGGTTGAGCGGGTTCCATGCCTCCCGCTCAAGTCATTTTCACCAGCGCGCATGTCGATGTGGATCCAACTTCCAGTCCATCCCACCAAAATGAGCGTTGTCAACGTGGAATAAATATATAGGCCTTGGGTGTGATTTGTTTTGACCCTATGACAAGGCTCAGCTCTGTTGTAAAACTTCTGCTGGGAGGTGAAGATTCTAGCACAAAGCTTTGCTGCTCTACGGCTGCTCTGGTGTGTGAGTGTGTGTGTGTGTGGCCGAGACCGGAATCCGCACCAGGCACTGCTCACCCCGTCCCACATGGTCTCCTCTTCAAGATGGCTTCCACAGCGGCTTCGCCAGACTCGTCATGCTGCATCTGCCAGTGGGGAGGATGTTGGGAGAATAGATAGCCTACCCAAAGCCTTGATTTTAATAAACATCTTGTTTGGGATGCACTTGATTTGGTGAAAAAAACATATCGCTGAGCAGACAAAAGAGTTGGTTTTCAAACGACCATACAACACTGACCCCAACCCCACTAACAGTCGGACCCGCCCTTCCTTAGCAATGACAAGTTAATTCGTTAGTTAGGACTGACTGACTCGCTCAGGGCCTATGCTTGGACCTATGGATCACTTGCAGGAAGATCCTGTGGTCGAGGCCAGGCACAGCCCAGCCAGCTGGGGTAATGTTTCGCTGAAATGCTTTGATACCCAAGGGTTATAGGTGGACGCTAGGTTCTAAAAGCAAGGGGTACGTCGCGGAAAAAGAATGAACCCTCTCTCAAAAATATCATGGAAACAAACCAAGCACACAGATTGGAGACCAAATGACTATGACATCATGATACACAAGCCCACTCTTGAACTCTTGTGCGCAGTCTTCCTGAGTAGGCCTTTGTGGTTCCGTTTGAGGTGTCCCGGTCTTCGGGCTTCGCTTTACTTCCGCTATCGCTTTACGGCCTGGAAGAGCTTCAAGGCCTCGTTGGCAAACTCTTTGGCCTGACGAAACCAACGTAGAGCATCCAAATCCTCGTTATGGTCACAACATGTCACAACCATGTTGAATGTGGGTGTAAGCTGAGCTGGCACTTCACCACTTCACATGAGGTAAGGAGAGAGGATTCCACGGTTTACTGGTGTTCATCTATCCGAGTGCCTCAGGATTGTGGGTCACTTCAATGCCTTCATTCCGGACAAGTCTCCGCCTCATCAATGCCTAATCATGTTTGTTCTGATAGGCGGAAATCCCTTGCATGTCAGTGGTGGCCATAACCCTTATGCCTTATGCCACTCAAGTCCGTAGTCAAACCTTTTGATTATGATGTGATCTCCCAACATAGAAGAGATATGGACAAGGATGTATACAGTGCCTTCAGAGAGAAAGCCATGGCACAGCCCGAATGTTGTTTGTGGACACGTGCCTGCATCTCGCAGATCCCCTGGATATCTTTACTCTGAGCCTCCTACATATTCAACAGGATCCCCTCTTGGGCGGGGAACCAAGTTTACAGACCTGCAGGGAACACAAGATTTGGCCTATATATGGGGCACAAACTGTCGTCCATGTCGTGGCAAAGTCATGATTTCCTGTTTGTTCATGTGGGATTTGAAGGGGCCCTTCCTCCTTTTTTTCACAACTGGAAACATCATCCAAACGCAAAGACTGCGTAATTAATCTGCACTTTTGAGGAGCTATCTCTCATCCGGGTCCCGCCTGAGGATATCCTTTGGCGCCGTCGAATTCCGCAAGTTGAGCTTTCAGCAGGAAGAAATGCCCTTCTGCGGAGCTATCGCTGACCGTCCTGTGTTGCCAGGTGGCCCACAAGCAGCAGGTGCACAGCCATCTACACTACCAGCTGCACATAGGAACAGGGTAAGTTGATAAGGAGTGCCGATCAACCAAAGCTCTGGATCCCAGCACCACTGAAGGTGTTTTGGCATGAACTCTTTTGCGCACCCTTCGACCTTTGTGGAGCCAATTCACATCAATCCGATTGAGGGTGTCCAGAAACCCATTCACATCTTGTAGTCGACAAATGGTCTTGGGTTCGACAAATAGACAAACTTGAGTTGCCAACTCTGTCCGGTCTGTTCAAAGGCGCCAAAGCAATGACACAACACCAGTCAGCCCCAACGCAAGTGAACTTGTTGGGAGCGGACGAACCCGACTCTGTACGTTTCATTGGAGCAATGCGTGGCCATCCACAAAACCATGTTCTTTGGCATCTATGTATATATACACATGAAAGTGAATGATAGAGGTGCATATATATATAGTATATGCATGTATATATATATATACAATGAAGATATAGATATATATATATATACATATACACTTCGACTCGTCTACTAGACCGTTTCGCCCTCTCTCACCGTGATGCGCCGAACGTTCACCCGTGGGAGTGGTTTCCGTCCATCGATGCAATCGCCCAGCGACCCGAGACATCGAGAAATATCTTCAGGCCATGGGAGAAGCCACTTACTCATTGAGAAGAGAACCTACTAGTTTCTTGCTCCTAGTAGTAAGGCCAGGAGCCCCTAGTAGCGTCCTTGTTCCTAGTAGCGATGCCCTTTGTTCCTAGTAGCTTCTTGTTATTACTCATCTCGGACGTCCTGTGCTGCAACAGACTTCCCACCCCTGCAGGGCCCTGCCAAGGGACTGTGCCAGCGGCATGCCTTCATCAATGCACTTGTGCGAGTCCTCCGGCTCCAGCGACATCATGTGCGCGGTGGCCAGCGACAACCTTGGTTAAGATTGGCAGCCGCTGGGCATGGCCTTTGTGTGGGAAGAAAGGTCCGCCTTGCATATAGGAATGGATCTACGCAAGGAATCTGACCCTCCGAAGCTCAAGTCGTCAAATCCCAACACAAACTGTTGGAATCGTGGGAATCCTCCAGGACCCTGTTCCTTTTCCTCCAGGAGCCTGGGTATGATGCAATAATGCCTTACTGCTCAGATCTTTTGCACCCCACATGTTCCAGAGCTTCGAGGCACAGGGCTCGAACGAGGAGTTGATCGTCCTGCGGGCTCTTTTTGTGCACGCAAAGCCACCGATGCTTGGCAGCTGTTCAAACAGGAAGCGCCGGACAAACATGTTTCCCAGAATTGGTTTAAGGGAACATCTACAGAAACCCCATAGATCGTTTTGGGTGTGACAACCGTGGGTTTCGTGCAAATGTTTTTCCAAATCCATTCTCGGAATGTTGAAAGGCCAATGCAAATCTTCACGTGCAGAGAATGAACATCGGAAAACTGATAACAGAATGCCCTCAAGAAAGGGTCCCTCCCACATGTTCATCTACTTCCAAATCAGGCTCTTCCGAGCACAACAAGGTCTATGCAACTTGCAGTAACATTAGCATAAACAAACCTTGTGCTACAACCTTATTTAATGATATTTATGGGTAGCTACAACCCTGCAGCATTTGCAGAAGTGACCCCCTTGAAGTATGCGGGGCGTTCCCCACTTGCAGGATGGCCCAGTAGACCCCCTTACCACATGACTGGGTATATATATCATATAACAATATAATCTAGATAACCTATACATGATATGTATATACAGTAATCTATAGTACAGTATAGTATGTAATCATGTCTATATGTATTGTATATACATACATGTGTATATATATATAAAAATATGTATATGTAGAGAGAGAGAGAGAGCGAGATGATATGACTGACAGGCCCTCTGGATGTATGAAACACATTAAACAAAAGTGGCCCCAAAAAACTATTATATATATATATATATGTCTAACTCCTTCATCGCCATCAGATTATTTGGCAGTCTTTGAGGACTCTCCACATGTCGAGATTCGATGTCAGGTCCATCCCATCGCAGTCCTCCAAGGGCCTTGAGATATGGAGCGCATCTTTCGCAGATTGCAAGGCACGCTCGAAAGCGGCCCGCGCGGGTCGTTCCTCGTCTTCTTCAGCCTTGGCGCCCAGGGCGCCGAAGACATCGAGAATCAACCAAGTGGAGCATTGGGACCAACAAATCGTCCGTCCCCTCGCTAGTAGTAACAAGTGCATCGCTACTAGTAACAAGTGCCTTACTAGTAGTAACAAGAAGCTATTAGAAACAAGTGCCACGCTAGTAGTAACAAGTGCATCGCTACTATCATCCTGTCACTCCTCAGAGTCCTTCACACCTCGCCTCACTACCGTTTCGGCCTCGGAGGAGGAATCGACCCGAAATTTGGCACATTCGTAATCTGCAGAGAATAAGTCTTGTGAAACTTCAGCCCAAGTATCTCAAAATCAGCAGAATCCTCAATTTCTAGCTCCACTTGGGTAAGAATTGGGCCCCTCCAACCCTGCAAATGCCACCGCCGCCACTTGGGAAAACTTGATTGCAACCCTTTGGTTGGACCAACCATTCTTCAATTTCTGGAAACAAAGAGCACCTTCAACAAATCACCAACACTTTTTCCTGTCAACCCGGCCGCCGGCAGCGTGTCATCTGGGAGCTCCCAACCACCTGGGTCTCTGCTTGGAACCAATCGGTTTCAGCCTTTTCCTCGCGAAGCACAACAACCAACAACCACCCACCGAACTGATCTGGGCGAACAAAATGGGTTGACGACGGTTGTCCCTCAACGGTCTTTCAGGGAGGTCTGTCGGCCAGTCAGCTCGACGGCCTCACCAGCTGTTCAGCGGACTGCGGGGCACAGGTCACCGAGAATGGCCCATTGGTGTGCAGCGGTATGTGTCAAGCCACATTCTTACCTGGGTCCACTTTGCATGTGTTACACATTGGTACACTATAATTTTCTGGTGTTTATTCCCTCCTTCACCCTCCTTCTTTTTCCGCAACAAATCTGGGCAAAGCTTGCAGTACATGCTTTTTGACAAATCCCGCTCTCCTCCAGGACCTTGCCCTCGTTCTTGGCCTGTGAGGAAGTGCGTGGATGCGGACGGAGGAGATGTTTTTTCGGAGAACACCAAGCACTGACTCCCCAGAAGTTCACGTTTGAGAGGTCAACCTGTCCTCGGCTTGAAGTAAAAGAAAAGGAGTCTGAGAATACTGAGATTACAGCCTTTGGGCACTGACATGCAGCAAGGCGGACTGAGATGCATGCTGGTGCAATTCTGATTGCAGCATCCACTGTGAATCTTACCTCCCTAGGTGGGTGGCCCTGGAATGCCCCTTTTCTCGCATCTTTTTCTCATGCGGAATACTTGGACACTAAGCCCATGCCAAGCAGATGGTATTCTTTCAGCATTTTCTTGCAAACATCGAGAGTACCAGTAGCCTTCCAACTAATGATGTCGCAAACCATGTGGTCAAAACAAGATCATGTGAGCACCCGTCGGTGCACAGAACAGCCCCTGAGCCTAACACAATTGAACCTCGGTCCTTCGTTCGCTCTCGGACTCTAGGACTCTTCGGTCGCAGATGTTCTTAGATCCTATTCTGCATGGAAGAAAGGCACACGGACCCCAGGTGAAATGGTCCATTCCTGTCTATTCCGTGTTCCAAAGTTTCTTGCTCCTGGTAGCGATGTCCTTTGTTACTAGTAGCTTCTTGTTCTAGTAGCAATGCCAGGAGCTACTAGTAGCTTCTTGTTCCTAGTAGAAATGCACCTTGTTACTCGTAGCGTCCTTGCAGGAACTCGGACCTCACTTCCAGTGCTTGGGGTCCAAACGACCAGACCTCCCTGTGCGGGCGTCGTTCTGCGCCTTCTCCTCCTTGGCTTTGGCCCGTCGATCCATCTCCTGGTGCAGAGTCAATGCTTACAGGATGCAACTGTAAGTCTATGCTTGACGTCACTTTTTCGCCTGAAACAAAACCTGTTGTTTTGTCCAACGACCTGAACCTTTGTGCTCAAGACTGACCAGTATTTCAACCACGACATATCTTCAGTCCTCCAAGAAAAAAACAGCAAGAACCTTGCCCTGGGAATGACCGGACGTGAACAAACATGATCTGGGAATCCAAGGAACAAAAGCGAGGGAAGTTGGGAATGCCCCAGTCACCATGAGTAGGGTTTCTGTGGGCTGGGCATGCTGAGCATCCCAAACATGATCCTTCCAATGGAACATCTCTCCTGCTTTTCTTCTTCAGAGGCTGCCGAGAGCAGAGTCTGCGCTAGCTGGATACCTTGACCGCAGACAGGCGCAGACAGGAGACCGGGCGTGAGTTCAGACCCACGCAGATCCAACTGCCATCCAACACCTTAAAATCCTTCAAACAACGGAGTCAACATCCATTTCTTCGGACAAAGGGTGTGTCGAAAACGAAGGTGCCTAAGAAGAAACGAAGATGCCCGTCTTTT